CGGATGGAAGGGAGGTCTCTATGGGTTGTTGCTTTTTTAAGTAGCGAGCGACTGAAATCACGCAGTACGTACGGTTACATAAGTTGCAAACTGGTCAGAAACAGTCCTGTCTGCACCCCCCCACCCCACTTTCCCACCTCATCTCAGATGACCAATGTGGTGAAGTGTGGTCAAAAAACCCCAATGACCGGCATGGCGCAAGGTGAGGCCTTTGTCCATTGGTGTACAGTGGATTTGGGCAAATGTATTATTTATTTTATTAATGAAACAGGTAAGACTTTTATTGGTTCTTTCGGTAAAGTCACGTAGAATGGAAATAATAAAATAATAAAAATAAAACATAATAAAATATTCGCGTGAGAATTATTTTATTATGTTTAATTTGTATTATTTTATTATTTCCATTCTACGCGACTTTACCAAAAGAACCAAGAAGATGAATCCCTGCAGTCACGAAAGCTTTAAATCGAAAAGGTAAGACGTTCAGAAATTTGGCGTTACTCCGTCAAAACATTATCACTTTTTTATATATAAATGACGGCTGCCACACGGCAACACGCACACGTCTACCAAATTCATGGTTAAACCTCTACGACTCCCTCCCACTCCCCCACCCCGGCAGAGCGGAAAGTGCCAGCCAGTTTCCCGGCATGCTCTTGTGAGACATGGCCAACGGAGCTAATTGAATGAATGGCTAAATCAAAGCGAAGGGAATAAATTGACATGCCAAGCGGGCCAAATGATAGCGGCAGAGAGCGGTGGATACATGGGGAAGAAAAATAACACCTGGGCCAAATTTATCGTCCTGCGAATGCTAGGTTCTAAATGAAGCTTTCAGGTTCACAGACTGAGTGGAGGATTAATGAAACTGCGATATACTATTACTGCTGCTGCTGCATATACGGATTGCAACAAAATATCACATTTCCCTTCATGTTTAATAATTGATGTTTCGTTTTATACAGAGTTGCCGTTCATGCAGATTGCATCTCGCAATTGCCGAGGAACCACAGACGAGCTGGTAGGCAGCCAGGCTCTGCACCGGTGCCGACAATTGTCCAAGCTCTGCATTCCCGCATATATAAAGATGCTTTCGGCCAGCTAATGCCTGTTACTAACAGTGTGTGCAAGGTGCTGAATTATGGGTGTGTACTGCCACCACACTCATTCCAAATGCGCATGTTTTTGTTACCGAGGAGCAGTGGTTGTGCAGAGGGGCTAACAACGCTATGCTACGAACCCGGCAACTAGAGTTTGATTCCCGCTCACACAGCCAATATCCGTGATGATTACACTGGTCAACAAAAAAAAAACATTTTTTTCTGGCCTGGACTTTTGCAGCTGTTTTAGACTAATTTCAGGGTGCTGATTCCAAATCTGATCTCAGATTTGCTCTATCACATCTTATTTTTATGCTACCGACATACCCCATTTTCATTGATTTTACCCGAAATTAACTCCGTCACTTATGATTGCAAGTTGTTGCGAGTCAGTGACTGCTTTAGTGTTAAAATATGGTGCTGTATTTTTAGGATAGTGTGTGTTATAATATCATTTTATGTAGATATCCACATTTATTTAATATTTTTCTTCTGCAGTTTTTATTGAAAATGCAATATTTGATATCTCAAAAACCTGATGTGATAGACAAAAACTGATGCCAGATTTGGAATCAGCACCCCAAAATTACCTTAAAACCGCTGGAATACGTTATGCCAGAAAAAGTGTGTTGACCAGTGTTATCTGAACCGGTCATGGGCCTCCCCTAGCTCAACTCAGCCTCACATGAGTACCTGGTGTGGCGTGTAGACTTTGCCGCACGGGAGGCAAAGGCGGCTGGGCATGGTGCTGGTCACCCTCGTGTGGCATTACGGCCTTCATTGGTCACTCGCAACAGCACTTTCTCCCAAACTTAAGTTTATTGGATTGACCTGGTGATGTTCCCGCTTAGCCAGTCACCCAGCGATTTTATAACAGAGTTCTCCGGGGCAGTCTGAGCACAGCCACAAAAGCCAACAAACGGGGTGTTTAAATGTCACACAAACGTAACGCGTGCAAATAAAAAAACGGTGCAAGTGTAATATGAGGGCAAGAGGTGCCAGAAAAAAGTTAGGTACAGCTGCAAAAGGTCTATTGAGGCAATACGCAGGATCTTTGTCTTTGATTCTGCTCATTCCAGAAATAAACAGATGCAGGGGAATGCCACTTGAGACTAAAATATATTTTTTTCTAGAAGACCTAATCAGAAGCAATATTTAGCCAGTATTTATGCGATGGGGGCAAGTGCGATTGAGCAGTTGGTTTTGCGCACTCAACCTTGAACCCAGGTCTTTCCCCCTTTTTTGTCTGACGTTTGAAAAAAAAGCAACACGGCTACAATCGCACGTTTAATTTAGTTAAATTGCTCCACAGCTAGTCGCGGTGCGCTTGTTCCACCAGGATATGCATGTCCGAACCCGGTGACCCGAGTATGATTCTCGGTCAAGTTTAACATCAATCAATCTTAATTTTACGCCCCAATACCGTCCTCAATCAAGTGGGTATCGGTGCAATGTTACAGCAGAACGGGGATGATGCAGGAGGAGGGGGGCGGGGTCAACAGAGCCAAAGGAATGAGAAAAGAAATCCGTCACGCCCTCAGCGGCTTACACCGATTGAGCGGAGTAAATTGCAACCGCGCACAGAATAAAGTGCGACCGTGCGTAACGAATAGCGTAAGAAAGTTAAGTGGCGAATAAAAAATATATATGGCAAGTAAAGACAAAGTTTTTATTTGAAATTTTGGCTTTTATACGTCGATGGGGAGTGATGCCTGATCTCGTCCTGGGTCCCCACTTCCCCAACCTGCAATAAAAAAGAAAGTTTACTTTCATTTTAATTGTTTGAGCGATTTGTTTATCTTTCCTATACTTTGCACTCCTATCGTGTTTTTGTACCGTTTGCTGTTGTAAGTTTCTGACCCGCCCCTACTGGAGATCTGTGAACAAAGAGCTTTACAGCTCATCGGATTCCTCCACTGTAAATACGGATTCTGATTAATCATACGGTCGACACGTCATGTGGGAGACGTGGGAGACGCGGGGGATGCTTCACGCAGCAGTGGAATGACACATGGCTGGACATTAAGCAAGACAGATATACATATATTTATAAAACAACAACAACCCCTGTGCAATACAAATGGAAAAAAAGTAAAGTGGGATACATTTCACATTGGGTACGGTGCACAGTTCGAAAGTGCTTACGTTAAAGTCGTGCGAGTGGTGAACTCAACTGCCCAATTAAAATGAACTGCCAGTGGGAATGGTTGAACCCCAATGAGATTTGCGAACCGAGGTGTGGCTCCCAGTGTCTTGCGCACTCGTCCGCTGATGTATCGATTGATTACTCTACACCGGCTGAGAGCCCGCCAATATACAGCACCTTCGTGGGCTTCCACTTGGCTTTTTTGAAGACTTGGAAAACGAACGTTACGGGGGGGGGGGGGGGGGGGGGAAATTGACTTCCAAGGTTTTATATTGGGGGTTACATCAAAGAGAGAAATGGTGTTAAAAATGAGGTCGTAATTTCGTCATTAATGTCTGCTTTGCAGCAGAAGTCCTACTTAAAGTGCTGGGTAGTATAATTGTGTAATATACCCGGTTGAGACAGCACTCAGCATTAAACTATTCAACAGCACAATACATTTATAATATATATACTAGCGGGAAGTACCCAGCATTGCCCGGGCAAAAAAAATATTTCAAAACTTCTCTAAAAATCTTACATATACATACACAGATACTAAGCTATTGTGAAAGCCCAGTGGGCCATTTGTCCATTTCTCCACCAACAAAATTATAAGAGGCTTGCAGAAGTCAAAAAAGTTATAGTAAGTGGGGGGTAAAAGTTGATATAAAAGGTTTTCCCTATAATTGTGCCCCCCCTTAAAATGTTTGTACCCCCGCGTACGTGTATATACGTACACACTCTACAGACGACAGAGTAAGTAGTATTTATTGACTCTGTAGTTGTATCTACTGACTGTACAGTAGTATGTAGTGAGGCAGTAGTAGCTACTGACTGTTTCGTAGTAAATATAAATGTATAAGTTGGTGATCCTGTGGATATACGCTTGACTCACCATAAAAAAAAACTCGTCCGAGGTGCAAGCACCTAAATATCTCTCCCGGGACATTAAAATGGGCGCCAATTAGCGGCACACCAACAGTGGGATGGCCTATTAAGACATTTACCTCCACCACCATGAAACTAAAAAGTGGAATTTTAACCCCAAGCTCAGAGCTCCCAATGGTTATAGCAGTGCCCTGTTGGTAATGGAAACGTTCTGACTTATCTTCTGCAGTCTATCGATGGTTTCCCACGAGAATTGCGACTCTTTAAGTGGTCTCGATGAACATCGGGCATGCACACTCAACCCTCTGATTAGCGCGGTTTGCCATGTACGCTGCGAAAGAAGTTCAACATATGTACAACCCTAACAATGCCCTCTGAAGTCGAACATGAGCATGGAACACTCAGGATCTTACCGGTGTTTTGGCCTGACTCTCTGAAACCTTGGACACTCACTCAACCGAATTCAATAAAAAGGTGTCTTGGTCTGGCTTTCGTCCAATTTGAAAAATAAAAGTGAATCTCAAATCGTGGCTTGGCCAGTTTACCGATTTTATACCACGTTGCTTGATTGGTACCCCCTGTCAATCGTACTGCACCATGACTATTGCAGTGTCTGTTACGTAACTCAACTTATTGTCTACGTTTGTGTTTTTTTATGTTAAACAAAGAGATTCTGGTCGAGTTGTCTCACCTTCATCAGCCCAGAAAACGAGGCTATTGCCAAAATGGAACGTGAATGGTTTAATAAATACAATTGTGTAAAAACCGTGAATCTCAACACGGCCGTTGGGTCCTGGGATCACCCAGCTTCAGGTGGGCAGCGTGTCACGTTTGGTGTTGTTCCCCTCCACAGGGCCGCGTGTACCCCTCTGAAGGTCTCTCACCGTGCGGCGTGACGGTGGGCGGCCCGTGGCTCGCTCGCTGTGCCTGCAGCTGCTCGCCCCGCTGGCGAGCCTCCTCCTCCGTCCACCCGAATCGGAAACGGATGGAGCCGCAGCCTCCCTTGGCACACGCAGCATCGGGGTGGAAGCAAAAGCGGGTGGGCGGGGGGGGGGGAATTGGGAGAAAGAGAGACAGCAGAGGTAGAACGGCGTTTATTAGCGAGGGCATCGACACGAACGCCCAAACTTTCCAGAGAAGAACGCAACGCGCGAGCGCTCTGTGAACCTCGCTTTTTGAAGTCTCCGAGACCCCTTTTCACCTCGCTCGCTTTCACCGCTCGCAGCTTCACGTCGTTAGGGACTCTGCTCTGCTGCGAAGAAACCTGTAGCGAACGGTAAAGTGGTGCCTGCCGTGCGGTTTAATGGCACCGCTGTGTCTCGCTGATGAGACCAAAGTGGAAAAATCCAAATATACAATGGCTTCTTCGAGCCGTGCGAAGAAGCTATTGTATATGAGCTGTGTAAAGAAGATTTTTTTTTAAAAGCACACCTAAGATATCGGTCAGAAAAATTGACGGTGACGAATAGAATGGAACAAAGAATGACAGTTTGCTCATAGGCATGGGGGAGATGTGTATGCGCTGGATTTGCACTGAGAGAGAGAAAGAGGAAGACATGGATCAGAGATATCATATAGACTGCTAAGAAAATTGATTGGCATTTGGCGCAATACGTCACTCGAGGCGATGCCGGCCTCTGGTCGATACTAATGTAACCGGCCCGCCCCATCCCTCTCCTCCCATGTTCGTTATGAGGGGACAGGCCGGTTAATGAGTACAAAAACAACAATAATAATAGTAGTAGATGAGTTCGGAGGCAATGAGTGGATACTCTGCGTTGTGTTCTGCCCTCCTTCTAAGTGACACCAGAAGATTACGTGACTGCAACTCTTTATTTCGAAGTGTTCTTCTGAGGAGCATTCGTGCATCTGTAATTATGACCAGATGCACAGAAATCAACCCCAATTCACACCAATTCACAGCGTTCACCCGAATCTGAACAGGTGCCCTGTACCCTGAATTGATACCTCTACTGGTGGGCGTGGCCTACTGTGCATTCATGTGACCCTATGGGCCCAATCCATGGTCAATAATACTTTCATTCACAATTATACTTGTGGTTCATTTACATTAAGCCCATACCAGCTACACTAACAACAGTGGCAGCCAGAGTAGAGTTGGAGCGATGAGGTCAGCCCATGTGATAGGCGTCAGATGAACTGCTGAAATGCGTGGCGATGGTACAGGGTGACTTTCATCCAGCAGTGGATATATCACGCCAGCTGCTGATGACATGTGTGTACCCTCTCGGCAGTTGTAAAGCACAGCTCCGCCTATAGCACCTGGCTCCGTCTCGTAATCTCCTGCTAACAATACCCCCCCCCAACCTCACAGCTCCATCACACATCGCCTAACCGCGTCCCTTCACCTCCCGCCAAGGTGCGTTCACCAAATGCCAAACACAGGAACGTGCGTCTGCCCCGACGGCCTCCTGCCAGTGAGCCTTCGCTGCCGTACAAGCACAGCACCTGCAAGCGCACACAGGCATTGCTGCTGTGCAGTGAGTCCACGTACGCGTACAATCAATGCTTAGTCCATCCGCCTACCCGCTTGCCATACCTTTACTATCTAGGAGAAATTTAGATTTAAAGCTTTCGTGACTGCAGGGATTCATCTTCTTGGTTCTTTCGGTAAAGTCACGTACAGACCTGTTCTTCACCTGAGGACGGCTGCTTGCGTTGTGGCCGAAACGTCGTGAGAATTATTTTATTATGTTTTATTTTTAATTTTATTATTTCCCTTCGACGTGACTTTACCGAAAGAACCAAGAAGATATCTAGGAGAATTTGTTTAAGCAAGCAAATTCTCGACCGGGGTTTCGATCGTCTGGGTCTCATCAGTAGGCAGGCCTGTTAGATCAATGAGTCTGCACTATATGATTGAACAGACTCCGCACCTGAGTCTGTTCAGTGGTCATATATTAGCCTTTGCAACTCCTGAGAGGAAACTAGTCTTTGTAATTTAGCTGCAGTTGTAATGCCATCAGTTCCTTCAACTGAGTGCATGGGAATGGGGTGTTAGGCCAAGCTGTGCCGTGTGAGAGTGGACAATTAATATTCCAACTGCCCTTTTGGGATATCCATCTGTGCCATCTGTCCACTCGACCGTCAATAAATCCTTCAATCCACTTATCCATTGAGAATCCATACACACATTTATTCGGTTATCAATTCATTTAAGCGGTGATGCAATCTTCCCAACCACACACACTGCGTAACAAACCCCTCGATTCACTGACCCAACAAGAATCCATACGCCCGTTAATTGATATACATTTGTTTAGGTCACTGTTAGACTAAAACATAGAGCTTGCTTGGACCCGTGCCTACCTTTTTCTGACGCCGATTGCGCTCGCATTACATTTGCACTGGTTTTTTTTATTCGAGCGCGCTTCGATTTTGACCGTCAAATATCCCGTTTGAAAACTGAGTTAACACCTCAGTTCTGATATAAACATAAGTGTACGCATACACCCAACTCGGTGTAGTTGAGTGGACATTTAGTGCAGAAGTTAATTAGCACACTTCAAGCAGAATGTGCTGAAATAAATGAAGTGGGTTGACAGGCAAAGTGAAGAAGGTGTAGCAAAAGAAGCCGATAGAAATGTTAACAATTATTTTATTTATCCAGGAAAGCCCCTCTGGCTGCATTTGCATGTGGTCGGAAACCAAAGTAGCCAGAGAAAACCTACTTAATTCATGTAAATATTACGCAAAAATTATTACAGAAAGCTCAGAAAACTACTCTGTGAACTGCAACCTGCGGACCCTCTCATAGTGCTGATGGTTGGTGATCTAACGAAGAATGAGGTCTTCATTTGAGATCCAACAACTCAAATCACTCCAAAACTAAGGTTCCCCATCTTAAAGAAAGGTACATCAGCTGTTTGTATTGGGCTGCTTGACAGAAGTGGAAAGGTCCTTTCATAAGAGAAACATACTTTGTCTTATGCCCTATTTTAGTAAAAATTGTGCTATTGGCATTGTATCACGAAACAAGAAATCCATTTGGAACTCTGGCAGAGCAGTGATGGAGAGTAGCCCACAGAAGAGGATACTGCAGAACCACTTCTAATGTTACTCAAGTGACCTCCTTTATCCACACGCTCGGGTGTATTTCCCACATGCCCTGCCATGAAACACGGCGGTTTGTTTCAGGCCACTAAAACCAACGTATTATATTCTCATTGCTGGATTTAGCTCAATCTAGTGAAAATCCAAATTTTACGTTTTTTTGACCGCGCCGACACCGTCCATTCGCCACGCTTGAGAAGCCGGCCTAATCACGTGTGGGTTTCTGGATCTCGGCGGTGCTGGCTCGATGCTCTGGCTCAAAAAGCCATCTCGAAAAAATTCTGAAAATAATTCATAATAAAAATATTGTAAAGTTACATTCAAAGCGGGCTTGGGAGACACCATTTCATCCACGTCGCATAAAAACATACGGCAATGACATGATGTAAGTGCTTTAATAATAACGTGCTTCGTTCGTAACATTAATTACTTTAAGTCTCATTAACGAGTCTTCTAAATCTTGTCAGACTGCGTATTAACACCCCCAACGTCCAATAATCTACAAGAAATGCACGGCTTATTTTTTTTATCTTACTGATTCATCCCTTTAAAATTCAGCCCTTAGTGTGGCACAGCGCGGAACCGAAACAGACAGAAGGGTTAATGCACAAAGGACTAAATCGCAAATGTCGGAAGGCCGTGCGAGACACGGGAGTGACGGAGATAGCTGGTTTTTTATATCCTTAATTTTTTTTTTATATTCCTCCCTTCGCACCTTGGGCAAGTGAAGAATCGCGGCAGCAATTGGTGTTAGCAGAGGTCGGCGCGACATGCCGTCTCGCACGTCGACTCCACCAGAGAGAGAGAGAGAGAAGCTGCAATAACCGGGACGTCACGGCTACTCCAGACAGAAGCTAAGCATCTGATCTCCACCGCTGTGCATCGCGTGTCAAAGGGACCATTTGGCTCGGCGATATGCAGGCAGCCACAGGTGCCAAAGTTTGACTCCACTGGCACCCATTAGGAAGCAATAATGAGAAATGGATAAACACAAACCGCGGGTTTTGCGACGAGGAAATGGAACAGAGGGACAAGCTGAAATTGAGATTGGTCGGAAAAGCCATGGTGCCAAGAAGAGACACAAATCTGTAATGCTCTTACCTACTTTCACGCACACCTATTGCAGTGACTGCCATTAGCATTGACTGAGGCCTTGTTTAAGCAACCTATTGCAATGAAGAAACTTGAATAAGGTCGATGCATTTTTCTGTCTTTCACCAACGATACATCTTTGCTGCAATCTTAAATATGGGATTAGCGTTTAGTGACATGTGAAAAAAATGCAATGCTACATTAAAATAAGTGACATGTATACTATGCACTTTCTGGATTGTGTGCAATAACTCAATAGTCAAGAGTCTGTGTCCAAATATGAAAATATTATAACAATTTCGTCGATGAGCCGATAGGTTGTTTTTACTGGTCCCACGTTTTCCGGCTACATTTCTAGAAGTAGCCATCATCTGGACCAGTATTCACTTTCTGAAACTCACCAAGAAGCTCAAGCCTGTTAAACAAATTACACTTTTCTTAAAAGCCCGTATGTTTATGGATTAAAAGGGAACTCTATGATTTAAATGTATTTATTTACTTACTTATTGTGGTTAAACAGCGACGATTATTCCAAAATCACCCAGAATGCAGTCGATCTTATCAAGATTCTCAGACTCTAATCAGGTTTCAACCTGGATAGTGCTTTGGCGGGTGACCACAATGCATAACACAAAAAAAAACTCAGTACGTTCATCAATAATGCCATGGCCTTAATGGAAAACATATATATATAATATATGATGTTTTGGGCAATAGCCCTTCTTCATAGCACATGGCCAGAGAGGCCAAAGAGACACAGTGGGTAATAGGAGTTGCAGACTGCACTTTACACCGTGTGGTGGCCTAAAGGGAGCTACATTTCAGAATGTATCCTG